TAAATGAATATCTAAATACATGATATTCTGTAGTTAATTATAATCATAATCTTTACCTTCCAAGTTCTTGATAAACATGACGAAACAAAAACATTTTATTACATTTTATTCAACTATTACACTAATATTGGTTTCGAATTTTGTGACTGGTAAGTAACAGATGATGAATGTTGAAATTAAAAAATCAAAGCGAAATAATGTTTTTGTGATATATTATGGTACTTCTATGCATTTTTCTCCTCTTTGTAATTACATTTTTTTAAAAGTAGTGAATTGTAAATGTGATTGGAAATTGTCATCTATAAAAATACTGTTGAAATGATAAACAAAATCAACTGTAAGTCACTTCTTTAGAGAATAAATATTTATTCTCTGAAGAAGTAACTTACATTGAGTCACGAAACGTTAGAAAATCTAATGTTTCTACTCATTGGGATATTACAAATATATATGAATTAATTTACTTATAACAATCTACTCAATGCTCAATTTATTCGAAATTATCAAGTCAAACCTTGATATTAACACCTAAAACGTCTACTGTAGTTATGAAAGTCGGCCACTTTCATTAAAGATAATAAGTTGTTAATTAGTGAACAGAAGTATTGAAAGAATTCATCAGTAAATTAGCTTCTTTGGTAAATATCGTTTTAATTATTGTATATAAATATATTACAGTGTTTTTGTTGAATGGTAATTCCATTCATTTTAATAAAGAATTTCACATTATCAATAATCGAAATTTAAATGTGATTAACCCTAGAAACTAGAAATCGCTTTAATTCTATCTTAATAATCACAGTTCAGGCATGTAAAATGGCCTAGTTTTTCAACTAGTAACTATCCATTTTCATTTAACCATAATCAATAAATAAATAAAAAGTTCGAAAATCAAAATTATCTATTTTTAATGAGTAAATTTTTTATAAATAAACTTTTAAAATATGTTTTCCATAAGTTTTGCATTCGTATTTAATTTGGAACTTATAGTTTCAATCATCTACTGATACTTGACGAAGTATTGATAAAAGCATAAGATCATGTAGAGTAGTTTGTCCTAGTTTGGAGCTTTTCAGTAGTATTCATTTATAAACTTTAGTTTTTATTGTTTATTAATGTTGCTTTTTTTAACAATTGAGCTGGAATAGAGTGATCACTTTCAGTTGCATAAAATAGAGTGTGACTATTAGCTAATCCTACTAGATTTTTAATATTTATCAAAATTCTTTCAGTCTGTGTTGAAAACTATCCTTAAATTTGACTAATCTCTATCAATCATTTCAATAATAAAACAACTAATTAGTTATATAATTCCTTCATTGTACTAAGTAACCAAAAATTCAAGATTCAAATGGTTCATAGATGTTTTTAAAAATTATGTTACGAAAAGTTACCTTAAGATTATTGATTATTTTCATTTGTTTCTGGTGTAATTCCGCGTGCAAGAAATAGTTACACCATGAGAATCAATAAGGGACATGAAGCCAACTAAAAAAGCAAACAGAAATATTCATCAATTCTAAATAAAAAAATATTTTTTGTAATATCCCAATGAGTAGAAAAATTAAATCTTCTGACGTTTCGTGACTTAGTGTAAGTCACTTCTTCAGAGAATAAATAACCAAATCAAATAGTACAACAGAACAATAAGAATAATAACGTCAATTCATCAATTCATTCATTATGGGAAATGAAACGATGCTTAGGAAAGTTAGCTTTATTTAAATGATTGAATTCAGTTTTCTACTCTAGCATGATTGAAACTAATGATTTAATAATCATAGTGAGAATTCTTAGTATGATTAAAGCTTTACTAATTTGAACACCTTTTATTTATAATATAGCAAGAATGAATAAATGTGATAAACATCTCTGGTGTAGTTCAGCTCTCTAAACTGGGTAGTTTGCTCATGAAGCTTTTCTTGTTCTTCTACATAACATTGTCAGAGCAAAGTACAAATATTAGTTCAAACACAACTCCATGACAATTATCCTGCTAAACTAAAATCCATTTCTACCACCATATATGATCCTGTGAACAAAAAAGAAAACGATATATTAACTGAAGTTTATTCCAATGTAATTCATTAACAGATTCGTAAATAAAAAATTGTTCTTAAATGTCTATCAATCTACTATATTTAAAATATTAATTATTCAGTGTTTAATTTTAACTAATATTGACCTGAATTCATTTAAAGAGAGAAAGTAAAAACTTTTTTTGATTGAGATAATGAACCGATTGATGTTTGACCACCTTTGGAAACCTGAAAGCGCTGGACGGCCGTTTCGTTCTATTGTGGGACTCCTCAGCAGTGTGCATCCACGAAACGGCCGTCCAGTGCTTCCAGTTTTCCAAAGGTGATCTAACATCAATCGGTTCATGATCTCAATCAAAAACTTAATAATCTCCACAATCCCTATACTAGTAAAAACGTTTTATTGTACAATAGAATTATCATTTTAAAACGATTACTTCACTGAAAATATCCTAATCCGTATAATTCAACTTTATCATTTATTAGTTATCACTGATTAGTTATTCTTTTTCAGGTAATTACTTACAACTCATCATAACGTATAATCTATACGTGACATAAAGACTAAGTGAATGATTTTGAGTATAACATTATTATATAACACTTATGATTTAGATCTAATGTAATATTGAGTAAATTTTACCCGAAATTAATTTACAATTTTCATAGCATTACAAACTTTTATTATTTAGGAACCGCGTATTTTGAGTTTTAAAACTGTTCATCATTGGTGTTCATTAATCATTGTTAGAAAAGTTTGATTTTATTCCCAGATATGACTTTTTCCAGAACAACAACAAAATCAATAATTTATACTTGATTTTGTATTTGAATAATTCTAATTAAACGATTATGATTAAGAATCGATCAATAAATTAATGAAGAAAATGAAAATATCTTTATTTCTATGATATGAACGTTCAAATTCGATTACTCATTGAGTACCATAAATAAACTTGAACAACATGTAAACGAACAATCTTGTTCATCAGGTTTCACTCTAATATACAACAACATTTATACGTATCTATGAAGATATCAAAACAAATCAGGAGAGTTCATAAGTTAACAATAGCAACGAAGTAGATGACGTAACTAGGCGTAATAATT